ATGGTGATTTTGTCCTCGTTTTTGCTTATCTCACGATGAGGGGTGTGATATGGTTGCATCTTGCATAATCCGAAGCAATTAAACCGCGAACGCCACGCGAGAACCCGTGTAAACGCGATCCGAGTCGCGCCCTTACACGCATTCCTGCGCAACGACTCGCTCCCCCCCCCCCCCCCCCCCCGAGAGGAGTCACGACGGAATCATCATCCCGTACGAGCACGCCGAGGTGCCACTGAGTCGGCCTGTCCTACACATGCTCGTACGCGGCGACGATAACCCGCCCCGCGCTATCCCGCCGGCTATGATACCATGACGCGATCTTGGAACTCGGACTCGTCCTACGATTCATACTATTTCACCCCTATAATAAACGAGCTCATAAGGACACGATATCCCTGTCACACGGAGAATCGGTTATGTCCACGGGAATTCCACTGTGCCACCACTAGCGACCCTCGGTGTTCCGATTTCCCTTCCCCCGACCACACATACTACTTCACCCACCCGGGATTCGTTGAGATCACCACCAGTTTCCCTCCTTTCCGCCTCCTTCTCCCATATCATCAACTCAGTGTCGTCCCGTGGCCCGCCATAGCCCCCTACTGGCCCAATACGTTTTGTGTGAACTGCCGATGTAGCGGCGGACAGAGAACTCCGGAATTCCGAAGGCCCAACCCGGGCGCGCGGCGACCTGCGCCACGTGGCGGCCCCCGACGGCCTAACTTTTCAGGACCACCCCCACCACGGAGGGATTTCCCCGTAACCCGTCACCCACAGTGCCCCGGCCCCACCAGACCGTGAGTCCCTGGCGCACGCACCCCTGACTCGCCTAATTGCATTCATACCCTTAAGACTCCCCCACTTTCCCCAAAAATCCTTGGCACACCCCTTTTCGCACTTCCAGGCCCACATCCCACTCCGATCAGGAAGTCGCGCTGGGCGTGAGGTTGGGCGTCACAGTGTGAGTATGTACTTAGTGAGGGCATTACGGCAGGGGTGTCACGTCCACCGAAGAAAAAGTAAACACAAAAATCAAAACTGAGCTTGGGCCGGGAAAGCGGGTTCATACATTCTGCGAAGTAATAGTGTGGGCATGCCCTCCTCCACAAAAATTGAAACTGAACTTAGGGCGGGGAAGCGGGTTCATACATTCTGCAAAGTAATAGTGTGGGCATACCCTCCTCCACAAAGTGTCAGCAGCCCGCGGACTGCGCAGTGCCTCTCTGGCAGGGCACCAAACAAAAACACAAACAATGAAAACCTGAAACTGGCCACAATAGTAGTTAGATACTTCTTGTGAGTATTGGTGTGAACACAACTTTATGCAAGGCTTTCCCCCAACTTGGTCTTCTGTTTTTCATTTTTTGGTTTTCAAACGGGCCCACAAGGCCCATCTGCCTCGCCTCTGCAGACCCCCGAAAAGTTCGGAAAAAATGGGGAAACCGCCATTTTTCCCATTTTTCCCAAGACTGTCAGAGGTAGTGGTGGTAGCACTCAGTCGGGTTGTTTCTTGTAAAAAAATAAAATAAAATAAAATAAAAAATAAAATCAAAGAAAACAGAAACCAAAAAAAGGAGGACCTTTTCTCGTAAAAATGTGAAGGGGTAACTTCAGTAGAGTCACAAAAAGGAGTTATAATTGCACTAGTAGAGTCACAAAAAGGAGTTATAATTGCACTACTATGGGGCAAGATACAGTTTTGGAATTGCACTTGGGGCACCCAACCTGGCCAGAAAGCTGGGTTGTATACATTTCCCGAACTGCAATTCGAAACTGTAACTGTATCTTGGGCCATAGTGCAATTACAACTCATTTTTTTGACTCCGGCGTAGTTTCCCCAAATGTGAACTTGCAATGCAGTATCTGTCCAGAACCTCTGACGGGAGTCAGATCGCCAACCAAATCAAGATCGTCTCTTGGGGTGTACCCCTACCCCTACATTGAATGGCTTAGGGCGAGATCCCATGGCAAAAATGATTGGAATAAGTGTCCCAATCTGGACGCTTTTGAGGAGAGGTGCAAAAAACTGTGATTGATCTGCTTTTCTGGATCTCTGCCTGGAACACATCCAGATTCAGACAACTAATATTCCAATCCTCTTTGCCAGTGGGATCTGGCCCTTACTAGGAAGTTAGCAGGCCCTGATGGTCAGTGTTCACAATCTACTGCCAGCATCCCTCAGGTTCCGGGCCGTCAACGCCCTCCAAAATTTGCTGTGCTCCTAGAGAGGACTGCATTCCCTTTTTTTCCCCCAACCACCCGTTGTTTTCACCCGTCTGTGGTGCTCTGACAGTTTTTCATCCTTTATGTAATGGACCGGGTGCTGGCAGGGCTGTATTTCCAAAACCTGGGATGAGGTGAACGCCATTTGGCCGCGTTTGTGGACAAGTGCAGAAAATTGAGATTGAACTCCTTTTCTGCATCTCTGCCTAGAACATGCCCAGATTCAGGAGCTTGATCCTATCCTCTTTGCTAGTGGGACCTGGGCCCTGGCCTCCAGGTTAACCACCTGTTTTTCAGAACAACTGATGCCTCGCCAGAAATGCTCCCATCTGCTGGAAACAGGGGGGACACAGTTCCGCCAAGTGGGATCAACGCTTTCAGCCCTTGAGTTTGCCCATCAATGATGGTCCCATATATATCGGCCGCGGGCAGTTTCGGAGGCCCGAAACGAAAAATGGGCCGCCCATGAAATTTAGCA